ACAAGGAAAAAGTTAAACTGTTACAATCAATGCAAAGAGCACATGAAAATATTAGCCATTTTTATCTAAGGAATATAAAAGAGTGATAGAAGACACAAAGATACAGTGTTTACAGCAGCATTTTAAAGTTCTCAACACCTACAAAACTGACAAAAACTAGCATACATTACTTCAGTATGCTGCCCGTATGACATCCCAGACTCAAGAACAGAATAGGTGGAGCTTATTCTTTCCTTAATCCAAATGTCCTTAGATGCCTCTTGTAATTTTTCCTGTGAGATATCCCTCAAATTCAACAGCACTGCTTTGCCCTTTTCTCCCCCCTCAAACAGTTAACTTTAATCAATTTTTCTCAGCTAAGCTTGACCCAATAGAAACAGCTCCTTGACAGATGAAGCTGCCTTCTAGATAAGAGTTGCAAAACAGAGCTCAATGGGAGTAAACAAAGATAGGGAGAAAGTGACAAGATGCAAAAGATTTCCTGCAGTTCTATACCCTGCACACAATCTATCTCCAACCCCAAAACTTTATGCTTTATACACCGTAACAGACTACATAAAACTACAAAAGAAACTTCAGCTAAAAAAAAAATATCGAGACACTTAAGCTTCTGCTATCTATTTGGTACCTAGAGCTGCTGGCATGAACCTCAGAAAAACAGAAGTTACTTTTTCATTAAGCCACTAACCTGGGCATTTGAGCCATAGTTAAACTTCAAGGCAAACATGTGAGAAATGTTCCTACAAGATACGATACGAGAACTCAATTTGTGTGCTCCAACCACTTCCCTTAACCGTAAAAGCACTGATAAAAGCACAGCACTAAATTACAACGTATTTGTAAACCTTACATCTCCAAGAAGAGGAAATAAATGTTGTCTTACACACATCACATTTCACTGAGTATCATAATCTAACAAAAAAGCTTCCAATGGCTTAATGAAAAAAACATTCTGTGGAGTTATCAGAGGTGATACCACAGCATGTAGCCTTAACACAATGCTTTACCGTAGCTCTTCCAGTATTTAGTAACAGGCAAATATCACTGTTTTCACTTAACCAGTACATAAATCAGAGAGGGGCTCTGGATTTAGACAAGTTATTTAAAGTGAAGAACAGCTACGCCAAAACCCACTAACTGCCTATTTTGTTCAGAGTTCTTCACTGCGAGACAACAACAGATGCTTAAGAACATGAAAACTAAGGCAAGGGTAGAACAACCCTCCACAGCATCTTTTCTCTGCTTTCTGTAGTGAGTGGTTTAAGCAGTTTGAGTCAAAGGTTTTTGCCTCCAGATCACTCAGTTTTTCATAGCCCACAAGAAGGGTATTTTTCCTCAATCTGTCTACACCAGTTTTGAAGCTAATTAAAAAGTTTCACATTTAGGAATTCATTGACAAATCATTTTGTGATTACAAATTGTGTTAAGATAATTGTCTCCAGATCAGCTTTACAGCTGCTATATGGTAACACAAGAACTAGGAAGACTGCAATGAGGTTAGAAGAAACTGAATAATCAGAACTTTTTTTCTCTACTCCATTATTTCTACAATTTCCATGTTGTCCAAGCTCCAAAGATCTGTCCTAGCTACCCTCCCTCACAAGGAGGCAAAAGCAGTAACAGAATCTACACCTCAAGCCACTACCTCACCTAACCCAAGTTTCAGTAACCAAATCCGCAGTTTAAAGAGTTAACCACAATTAACTGTTCCTATTTAATGTCACGGGGAAAAAAAAATTACATTTTACCTTTCACTTCCTGGTGTAGTAATTCTGTAAAAACGATGCCTCAAGTGATGTTTGTCCCCGTGATAACAAACTGTGCACAAGTCATAATTCGTGCATTCAGCACATTTCCATCGGATGCCAATGATGGGTTGCTGTCGACAAGTATCACACATAGTCCCATCATGCTTGATACCTGTGGGGAGCAAAAGGAAAAAAAAAGACTAACAGCTTTGCTACATCGCTACACAGATTTCTATTGCGCACCATTATAATTTGAACCATACACTAAAGGGTTCACAATAAAGACAAGCTGTCAGTGACACCCTATCAGCCTATATGACTAAGGGGAAAAGAGAATGGATTTTGCCTTGAACCTCCAGTTGTCGGCCTGTTCCTGAAATGTTGTATCTTCACTCAGCTCAAAAAGCTGAGAAAGCTACATTTGGGGGGTTTTCGATCTATACAAATCAGAGAAAGAAAATGAGAAATCCTTTAACTGCAAGTTAAAGGGTCATAAATGCATATATCAAAATATACAGGCAATCTGGCATTTTATCGCTGGATTAAGACTATCAACACACCCTATACCACAAAGGCTACTGTGTTCAACTGTGTGTGGCAGTTTGAAAATCATTGGTTTGACTTACACAGTTTGTACAGCGGAAAAGAGAAGTCCTTATCTCTATTCCTTTTTATATAGGAAAAAATTAAGTTCTCTTGGATAGATGCCATAGCTTCATGAAAATCTGTTACCATTTCTGAAGTGTTTTACTGCTTTGTATGTTGGGCTTTTTTTTAAAAAAGAATGTGCCAAAGACAGACCAGATGTAACCCACCAGCATGTGCTCTGCCCAGCCTGCCACAAAAACAGAGTTCTCAAGACTACGTACTCCTACAGCTTTGCCAAGCTACAGCAGAGTGAAAGTGATCAGTCACAGTTTCCATCCATTCATTCTGAACAGAATGAGCAGCCACAAGTTTATAAAAAAAAAATAATCAAATTCTACTGCTGTTTGGGAAAAAAAAATGAGCAATAGGAGAGAGAAGTGCTGGCATTCAGTCTGTAGCACAAGATAAAAATGAGCACTAAAAGGCTGGAGTAACACAGAATTTTCCCAGTCTCTCAGTCTTCGAAAAAAAAAAAACAGCCCAAAGAACAGATCACTCAAATTAGTGAGGAAAAAGAATGGGTTTTGTCCCCTCCAGAAGCCGACCTCATGAAGTTTAACAAGGCCAAGTGCAAGGTCCTGCACCTGGGTCAAGACAATCCCAAGCATAGAGACAGGCTGGGGGTGAGTGGGGAGGACAACTTGGGGGTGCTGGTGGACGATGAGATGCACATGAGCCAGCAGTGTGCACTCGCAGCCCAGAAAGCCAGCCGTATCCTGGGCTGCATCACCAGCAGCGTGGCCAGCAGGTCAAGGGAGGTGATTCTGCCCCTCTGCTCTGCTCTGGTGAGACCCCACCTGGAGCGCTGCAGCCAGCCCTGGGGCCCCCAGCACAAGAAGGACAAGGAACTGTTGGAGCAAGTCCAGAGGAGGGCTACCAAGATGGTCAGAGCGTTGGAACATCTTTCCTATGAGGACAGGCTGAGAGAGTTTGGCTTGTTCAGCCTGGAAAAGAGAAGGCTCCGGGGAGACCTACAAGAAGGCTGGGGAAGGACTTTTTACAAGGGCCTGCAGAGACAGGACCAGGGGTAATGGTTGGAAGCTGGGAGAAGGGAAGTTTAGACTAGACACAAGGAAGAAGATCGTTATCCTGAGGGTGGTGAGACACTGGAACAGGTTGCCTAAGGAAGTTGTGTCTGCCCCCTCCCTGGCAGTGTTCAACGCCAGGGTGGGTGGCGCCTTGAGCAACCTGGTGTAGTGGGAGGTGTCCCTGCCATGGCACGGGGGTTGGAACTAGATGGTCTTTGAGCCAAACCCTTCTATGATTCTCTGACTGCCAAATCCACTCTAAACCTATTAGACACTTGTGTCCAACAGCTGAGCCACCTGCAGTGAAGAAAAATCAACAGCTAGAGAGGCAACACTGAAGGAAACGCCTTCTTGTCTGATCATTCCCTGAAATCATATAATAGCTGAGGTTGGAAGTAACCTCTGGAGATTGTCTACTCCGGCCACCACCGCAGGGTAAACTAGAGCCAGCTGCCCAGGACCACATCCAGCCGGGTTTTGAGCACCTCCAAGAACACAGACTCCACAACGCCGTCTGTTCCAGTGTTCAATCACCCCTATAACAAACGTTGTTTCTTAAGCTTAAGTGGAAATTCCTGTATTTCAATTTGTGCCCACTGCCTCTTGTCCTGCCACTTGACACCGCCTAAAAAAGCTTGGCTCCATCCTTTTTACAACCTCCATCAGGTATTTATACACTCTTAAGATCCCCCCAAGCCTTCTCTTCTCCAGCCTAAACACCACCAGCTCCCTCAGCCTCTCCTCGTACCAGATGCCTTAAGATCCCTTAAAACACATTTGCAGCCCTTCGCTTGACACACTCAATACTTCCATGCCTCTCACACTGGGCAGCCCAGAACTGGACCCACTACTCGAGGTACAGCCTCACCAGTGCTGAGCAGAGGGGAAGGATCACCTCCCTCGACCTGCTGGCAACACTTCTCCTAATGCAGCCCAGGACACCACTGGCCTTCATTGCTACAAGGGCACATTGCTGACTCATGGTCACTTGGCTTTCCCACAAAGCTACTTTCCAGCCAGTTGTCCTCAGCTTGTACTGGTGCAGGGGTTACTCCTTCTCAGGTGCAGGACCCAGCCTTTCCCTTTGTGGAACTACATGAGATTCCTGTTGGCCCATTTCTCCAGCCCATCAAGGTCCCTCCGAATGCCAGCAAAATCCTCTTACGTTCAATTTCTCCTGGCCAAGAAGGCTTCTCACTCCACCCTCTTCCAGCCTTGATTATAAATGTATTTAGTAAGATTTCTGGCCTCATGATTAAAAATTTTCCTGATGCATGAACATTGGAACAAATATTTAGTTAAGGCTGGGAAATGAAACACATCTGGAGCAAAGTCTGCACATAGCACCACAGATATCAGAACACCTCTTCAGGGCAAAGACAGCCTTCGGTGACAAAAACAACCCTGAAACTGCTGATGTTATACTAAATGACCACTGTAATTCCTGGAGCCATTCATGACTAAGACAGCATCCATACCTTGACCACAAAGGCTGTGCTGAAATGTTGAAGGTTGGCACAGACAAGTCCTAGAACCCGTAACAATTTGCCAACTCCAACTGACAAATAGCATACCTCGTACACCGTAATTGTTCTTTTTAGCTAACCTTCTACACTTAAGAAGTATTTGCTGCCTGGTAACACCAACTAAAAATGCTATTTTTCTACAAAACAAGAACTTGGAAAATCACCCATACATTTTCTCCCCACACAGAACTCCATCGATGACCTTGTCCCTGACATGGAGGGTTAACATCAAGGAGAAAGCTATCTTTCCTATCTACATTGAGACTTTGATGTCTGGTATCTGTTGATTATCTGTAACACTCAAGAAGACAGTACTAGCTACGATCTTGCAGTGGCTGCCTCGCTGAATTGTACTGAACCATTTTACTACGTTTAAATTTAGTCTTCAAGCAGGTGCGTTAAAAAGGACTCTGATAACCTGTTAGCATTTTGTTGCCTTGCTTAAAAAGTCTAACTAGTTATGGTGCTTGGGGTTAAGGGGGGTATTTGTCCTTTTTTTTTAAAAAAAAAATAAAATCGCTAAATTGGTATTTCACATAGAAACAGAGAAGTTAAAAAAATCTTTGGATTCTTTTCAATGGTTGCTGAACTTCAGGGAAGACCGTTTGCCAAGGATCACATTTACTCTGGATGTGAAAGGACCAAGGAATTGGATGCTGCAGGATTCTTCAATTTGTCCAAACAGCAGGAAAGAAGGCAGAAGAGAGGTATAATCAGGAGTCATGTAATACAGAACTAAGTCATCTCACAGTAAACTTAAACAAAAACTAAACATTTCTAGCCAGTGAGGCAAAAGCTGCTGTGGAAACAAACAAAAAAAAAAAAACAAAACAAAAACAACAACAACAAAATCAGAAAAACTTCCTTGGGAAAGAACAAGAAAAAAAAAATACACAAAGATATTTGACTCAAAAGTCATTTTACTGACTACAGTGCCTGGGACTTCAGAGAGCACGGTACATGTCTGTATTTGGAGTCTCTGATCGAGAGTCACATCTCTGTCTCACAGATCCCTAAACACCACCCTGATAGATACAGCCTTTCTTCATCCATTCCCTGACACATGATCCCAGCAGCAACACCCACTTCAGCGCATGCCTCACCTGACCGTGCTGCTCCATACTTTCCACTAGGCCAGCAAGAGGTTTTTGCAGAGCTGAGCTGTAAACTGGATCAAGAAACATACCCGGCTGGAAAACAGCCAGGAGGAAAAAATATTCAGCTGGATTGGTTTCCCAATCCTGCTCTTTGTGGTGCTGCACAACACCGCCGGCACGACAAACAAAGCATTGCAGGGCAGGAGCAGGCAAGTAATCCTGTCACAGAATGTTTAACCACTGCACTAGAGACCTAGAAGGAGAAGTTGACTTGTATGGCTCTGGTGACAGTGGACTAAGAGAGAGTTTTAACTTCATCTACTAAAAAGAGATGGTAAAACAAGGTGCTACTACTGGATCACAAGACGTGATAGCTAAACTCTTATAGATTAACCAGATTCCGACAAATTGTGTGAAAACTCAAATTAGCATCCTCACAGACATAACTCATCTATTAAACACTCTGTCTGGCAGCAGCCAGCTGACCAATTATTATATACAAGAGACGCCAGACTTGCCAAAGGATGCGTCATATCTGGTAAGGGTATCAAGATAGACAAGGAGGGAGAGGATTATTGTGTAGGAGACATGGGGGAAGGGCAGGAAGAACAAAGCATATGTTCATTAATAAAAACAGGATTCCCAAGTACCACTGCTCATGAAACTATGACTTTTTTTACTTGTGAGGGGTTCTGTAAGTATTTACAAACAGCCACTTAAAAAATAAACCTTGACTAAGACAAATTGCCTTAAATTACACTTGCTGTGCTAAAAGCAAGAATGAACAAATACATAGGATAAATCATCCTAGGTGGTCTACCTTTTAAAATGTTCCGACACGTGTGACTTCATGACGATTTGTGCAGCTCTTCAGGTTACAGAAAGCTATTAATACAATTACAGAAAGCCACTCAGATCTTCAAGAGATAACAACCTAATTTCCAATATTGGCAGAATACGTCACATAGAGCTTCCCACACCGCACAAACGCTTACTCTAGCTGTGGGTTAATTCCATGTCAAGATTCCATTTCCTGACCCCAGCCCCTTGGCCACATCCCCTTATTCAAACACAATTGGGTAAATATTTTAAGCAGGAAAACAACGTTGTTACTTTGAACCAACTATACAAAAGGGGAAACAGATGACAAATGAATTTTTGCCTAAGCTTTGTGGAAAGCAAGTCTTCAGAAAGGGAATAAACACAGAAAGTTTTTGTAATGACCATGAGTATTATGTCAACAATGTCAGGAGTGCTCTCCACAAACACACTACTGTATGGCCTTTACCTTTTGTGCCTTCCCTTCTAAATACAAAGCTTGGGTTTATATACTTTGAGCTTCTGTTCAGCAACTCAGAAAACCGCTCCTTTCTGCTTCTTTCCTACACAATCAGGAAAAGGGAACTCTCAAGACTCCTAGATCCCGCCAAAAGGCTGCTTTACAGAAAGACCAGGAATTTTTCTGCAAGTAGTTGGGCAAGCACACTGCACTGCTAATGTATCGCATCCCACTGCTTACTCTGTTTAGGAGCCCACCATACAGGACCTAACTGAAGTTCCCTTTCTTCTAACTGAAACTTCATTTCTTTCCCAATCCTTAGTTTACTGATCCCTCTCAATCACTCAGTCCAATATAGATATGATCACCACCGAAAAACAAAATAAAACTTCATACCACAAATCATTCATTACTCAGATGACTACACCTGCAGCAAACAGCTTACAAGAGACACTTCATGGAAATCATCGATGAGTTCTTATTTTGAAAAAGACCGTCCTAAAAATCTTAGTACTAAGGCTATTTAGATCTCATAAAAAGTTACCATAGTCTCGCAATGCTGGTAATAGCCTACAACCATTAACACAAGAACGGTACATCATTAAGTCTATGAAGCATTGTTCTGGCATCAAAGGAAAGGCATATACGTATACACGCACATACATGTAACAAACTCGCGGTGGCTTTTTTTTGGGGGGGTGGGGGGTGTTTTCTTTGGTGGTTATTTTTCGGTTTTTTGTTTGTTTGTTTTTTAACTAGAATGAGTTTCATTACTTCTGTAACACAACGGGTTCCTGATGCATCACTACTGTTTCTGGCTGCACAGGCCTCAAACTCATCAAAGCAGCAACTCTGGCTGCAAGCACCACTTTTAAGAACTTATAATCAAGTCTGCTTTTGAATACCTAATAAAAAGACCTCCCAGTAATAAGTAACGTAGTTTTGCTTTCTATTGATGTATTTTTGTGTTTATTCCCACTATAAACTCACAATCATGTTGTGACTGTAAATTTAGGAACCAGAGAATTTTTTTCATTTTAAACTATGAGTGGTAATTTAACACTGTGCTAAGTATCATCAACCAAAAACCACCCCATATTTTACAATCTTTCCTTGCATCGTTATTAATACTACCATCAGAAATTCCTGTCACCTAATCCCACTTTTCCTGTAACTATTTATATCAAAATTATCTAAATGCCCCTACAGATAGTATCAAACTATCATCCAAAGTGGGAGTCCCTTATTCTAAACAATGGATAGTCACTACCATGCAGAAAAATAAGTAACTACAGAAAGGTGGAAAACCGAAGAAGGGAAGTGATCTGCCCAAGAATACAAAGTGAATCAGTAGTAAAACCAGTCCAAATTCCAGTAACTTTGCCCTTTTGCTGACACTACTTTACAGATTTTTACTCCTCCTGTCTCTAAGGAACCATGACCTCAAAAGTAACTCCTTCTAGCAAAAAGCAACCCTGGGGAGCTCCACGCAGCAGTTGCATGAGGATGATGCACATGTTTGCCAAAAACCCCAGGAAGAGAAATACCACGTTGCAAAGCCTGAAATCAGCAAATCACTTAAGCGTAAGAAACAACGTTTGTTATAGGGGTGATTGAACACTGGAACAGGCTGCGTTGTGGAGTCTGTGTTCTTGAAGGTGCTCAAAACCCGGCTGGATGTGGTCCTGGGCAGCTGGCTCTAGTTTACCCTGCGGTGGTGGCCGGAGTAGACAATCTCCAGAGGTTACTTCCAACCTCAGCTATTATACGATTTCAGGGAATGATCAGACAAGAACGCATTTCCTTCAGTGTTGCCTCTCTAGCTGTTGATTTTTCTTCACTGCAGGTGGCTCAGCTGTTGGACACAAGTGTCTAATAGGTTTAGAGTGGATTTGGCAGTCAGAGAATCATAGAAGGGTTTGGGTTGGAAGGGACCTCAATGGTCATCTAGTTCCACCCCCCTGCCATGGCAGGGGCACCTCCCACTACACCAGGTTGCTCAAGGCTCCATCCAACCCGGCCTTGAACACTGCCAGGGATGGAGCGTCCACAGCTTCCTTAGGTGACCTGTTCCAGCGTCTCACCACCCTCAGGGTGAAGAACTACTACTTTGTTTCTAGTCTAAACCTGCCCTCTCCCAGCTTCCAACCATTACCCCTCATCCATTACTTGTTATGAGTTTTTCCCCACAGCAATACACACAGCCCTACCTGAAGCAGAATTTAAAATTAGAATACAAAAGTATAAATATAACTGAATATCAGAAGGAATAAAGCAGCAAAAAAACCAACCAAAGCAAAAACCAGGGACTTAAAACTGAGCATTAAGGGTAGGCTTCCAGATGCAGTTAACAGGATACACCGTCAGCTTGCAAACACATCAAGCAGAGCTAGAATAACAGGCATTCAAGGCTCCTATTCAACATTTATGCATACATTTCAGTTTTAAGCAGAAGTAGTCCCGCTGGTTTCTACAGGACATCAAATGCAGGTAAAGTTTCAAAGCATAAACATCTGCAAGACAAAGATCAACAACTACCTTAACTTCTTGTTCCAAGATCCATTTCAAAAAGATTTTCAGGTCATTTTAATAGCATCTACCCTCCAAAACAACAACAAAACCCAACCACAAAGTCAGGGGAGAGGAAGGCACCCAGGCACAGAAAAATTAAATCTGTCTCAAAGGCTCACCATGCAATGTGTGCCTTTTTTTTTTTCTTAGTAACATTTTTGTAATTAATTACAATGAATTCTATGATTCTGTCTCTTCAAAAGTCTTTTAGCTTCAACCCACTGTTATAATTTCCCTTTCTGTAACACTACACATAGCTGGCTCAAAGATGGTCTCCCCATCACATTCTAAATGAAAGACACAGTACAAAAGGAGTACGTCCAAGTACCCCAACAAATCAATTCAATCTCCTTATTATCGAGGCAATCCTGCCCAGCCCAAAATCACCTATTTCTGAGGAAACTGAACGGTGTATTTTCCTTTGTGAGTTTTCACTGTAAAAACAGGTGCTAAAATGAACATTTCCCTGCCGTGTTTGCAACACTAACTCTGCCGCATAATGTCAGTGCAGATCTAAATCCATTGTCCAAACCGACTGAATTTAAGGCATAAGTATCAAGCAGCCAAGTAATTAAAAGAATGAACAAATGCCTCTTCCCCC